CGATCCAGGAAGAAAGGGCGGACATCCCAACATTATATAAAAAGTACAAAATTTTTAAATTAAAATTTTATTCTCTCTCTGGATCGCAAAATCAAATTATAAGTTCCATATTCAGAAATTGTTATTCTCGCGTTTTTTTGCGAGACCAACTTTGTTAGATGTTATCGGAGACACCGGATGGTCTAGAAAAATTTTGAATTATAAGTTTGTTATATTTTGCAGAATCTTCATATCTAACTTTCTCACTTTTTAATCTTGCATTATTAATTACTTATTGATTAAGCCTTCGTAATTTGAAAGTTACGAAGCTGCACGAAGGACGATGTATTATCTGTCGCTATTTAGCGTTCAACATAACAGGACCGTTGGAAAAGCCATTCCTATTTGTTGTTGTGAGCGCTGTAGCATTTGTTGTTTTTAAATTACACGCTTTGTTGACGGAAAGTACAGTCACGGGAGTTAAAGAACTTGCGCAACACACCGTCATCGGTGGCGAAACGCGAACCGTTAATGTCGTGCTAATAGGAATGGAAATATCATTCAATACGAACTGCCGTAATGTGCCTCGCACCGCCCGATAACATGTGACCGGACGTTATAAGTACGAGAAAGTTAACAGCAGCAAATACCATATAAATGCAGCAACGGAAATTATGTTACAAGTTACTATCGCGTACGTCATAATGTCGCACAAGTGAAATTTATTAGGCGACTTTATAGACGTCGCATGTCACGTATGAATGTTCAAAGTTAACTCGGAATTGTGTTTTCTACTTGTCGCTAGAATCAGTATATATTGGCCAAGTGAGACGAATAAAAACTAATATTTTATACATAGACGCTTTCATTCTTACCGCATTAACATCAGATTTTCCGTCGTTCGTGAAAGCAATTTTCTTGACAAACGGTTTATTTGTATTAAATTTCTTTTTTCAACTTCTTACCAGAATAATTCTTTCACTTATAAGATCGCGATATTGAGTCTTTCTTTTAGAAATTTTAGCAGCGAGATAATACATGCAAATAATCGTATGTAGCGCAAACTTTCTTTGCTCGCCGAACGTACCAGACGTCGATATACACACACGTACAGAGGCACTTCTATAAAAAAAGACTTGTAGAAATTACTCGTTTGAAATTCCAAGTTGAAGTACGTGATGTGAAATTTTTACATCAACTTTTCCTATATCTAATATTGATCTAATATTGATACGTATTGAAATTCCAATACGTAGGAATCTGATGTTTTATGTCACGGTGAAAGAAAACATATTCCATGCTGATGAACTGGCAAATGGAATATATAATATTTTCACTAGATAGTCAACTCATTCGTAGCAGACCGCCGTGGAATTAGTTTCAATAAACTTACTTACATCGCTTCCGGGTACAAAAGTTTAATTTGATTGTTTTATGTGGAAATGTGGTTGCATATATAACTTTCGATCCTTTACGTAAAGATGAAATGAAAGAAAAGCAGATGGGTCCATTTAATTATTTTTTTTCCTAAATTATAGGAAAACTTAGTGTCTTAATCTTTAAGCAAGATGTGTATTTAATTGCAGATCGGCAATTGCTGGTGAAGATAAAAACAAATATAAAAACAAACGAAGGAAGAAAATAATCGTTGAAAAAGATCTGCAATTCTTTTACTGACAACTCATTAATATTCTTGTAATATCCGTGTAATCTTCGGCATATAAAGAGAAAAATTTGTATTTTGCATGAAACCCCGCGGTTAAATCGAGAGGAGAATAGCGTTGGTGCATGTATCGACGTATCGCACGCATAGGTACATGATGCTGGTTGGCCTTTGCTTTCGCCATACAAGATTATATTTGTACACGATTACAATGTCGATGAAAGTACACGTGTTAATTAGAATACGCCAATCGAAGATAGAATGCAAACGAGACTATACTAGCTGGCTATCAAAAACAGAAGAGGTAAATCTAACTGGAAATGTATGAAATCGCCTGTCGTTCGCAGGATTCACGATCGCGAGATATGGTCAAAACTCTTTTTGATATTTAAATATTGGGAAATCCGAAATTTTACATTTTCCTATTTTTCCACCTCAAATATGTATCTTAAAGTATTCCAAATTTCGGATAATTAAAAACTTAAAGTTCTGAAGGCTTGATTTACGTGAATATTTAGATTGTTGTATATTCTAAAATGTCTGATTAGTTTTCTCATGTCTAACAATAAGATATGGACATTCGAGTTAGTGAAGCTGTTTGTGTGCTTTCAAGTTTCAGATGACACCATCGTGTAAGAATAAAAATATTTTTTACATAAATAATTACGATAAAATTCGCAGCGATAAAATATTTCTTTGGTACAATTAGTGAAAGTTCAGATTTTCCTCTGATGTCCCGCGTGTCTCGTTTTATGCGATTCGCGTTCTACCGCAGATCCCCAATTTATTTTTTGCTAACGGGGAAAAAAGAGAAAAAGTTTGTGACCCTCGAAAGTATTCATGAATCGCGGAAGGCTTTAAATCATAACGAAGTATCACTCTTATACACATCTTTATCTGCATACCTATTGTACGAACATATTCGAATTATCTTATAAAAGTGTTCATACCTCTTGATAATTGGATCGTGAAGAGAATAACGCAATGGGACGAGAAAATGAGTTACTCTCAGGCACTGCAATTTCCTTCGGGATATGAAGGAAACGTTTTTTTTCTCATTTTTTAAGATAGTTGACGGATTGATTTAATGTACGACAACATATCAGCGAAGAAATCGAGCTTAAGAGATTCGGACGCAGGGAATTTCATATAACATAAAATATTTGCGAAGTTTCGACATCTAGCGGGGAGTATTTGGTCCCTTTTCCGATCCAATATTCCGACGGGGTAAAAAGACCTTATTATGTCGCATTTGGATACTATAGCGGAGAAGATTTGTCACACACAGCATTATGCGCGACTCTCTTCCTGCTTTCGGTATAATTTTACGATAGGATTATGTCATAAAAAAAGAAGGGTATTGATTTTTTTTGCGATTTTATCGTGTTTTTGCTGTGAAGAGAACGACGTCAACATTGGTACATCAGCATTTCCGTCCCTATATCTTTTTCTGTAAAACAGGGGGGTGAATATTGCAATAATTTCTAGCGCGGTAAACCTAATAAAGCGCGATTACGCACTTGTAATCTAGTGGCGATAATTTCAAAACACATTATTGTAAGCGAATTTTATATGATAACGACATAATATATGATTTATGATGAAATATCGCGTTGTTATAAAGTACCGTAAAAGTGCAGCTTTGATAATAAGTTGTAATTGACATAATGTATTAATATCCTGCTTTTAAAAGTATTTGCAATGCTTTCAACCACTCACAACACGCTCGTAACAATTTCAGAACGACATATAATGTATGATGATGTAAAATGCAGATTAAACGTGACGACGATGAAAATGCCGGTGACGTAAAGTAAACATATTTAATGTTCGTGAAATGCATAATTTGATCTGCGTAACACTGTTTCCGCCTCAATTTCATATTTCACGCATGAGACATCGTAATATCGAGCACATCAATTATTAACCGTACGATCTTTTGCCAGGCTGATCGTTGTATATCATAATTTAGATAGCATTTTTCTCCCTTTTATAGCTCTTCTGAGAAATTTCTCGTTATCGATTAATTAACAATTCCAATAATATGAAGTGAAACTTGATCTTGCGTTAATTTGCAGGAAATGTGAAATCTTATATAAGAGATCTCGTTATACTGACTTGACAAGTTTCTTTATATATTCTTTTTTAATATCGCGCAATTTTTTAAATGTTATACCAATTAAGGGAAGAACGTGGTGTGACGAGCGATAATGATTTGTTGCTCTGCGCGTTAAATAAAAGCTATAGCAGTTACCTTGCTGACGGAGATCGCACTTATTAGAACTTCTCTGTGCAAACTATCGGACTGTCATATTTCACGCTATGACTCTCTTTTACTCTTGAAAAACTTTTACGATAGAAGTTTTATATGCTTTATCGTAAATGTCGAGTGCGGCAACGTGTTTTTCTATTTACGGTTTCTCCCACAAATGAGACGTCTTATAGACGAATTCATGAAATTCACAGCAAATACTCGAGATTCGTACGAGTCTTCGTGGCGTGAATTTAAATCGCCTTTTTGTTCTTGCATCGCACTCAATTTTCATTAGCTCGAACTTCTGCTTGTAAGTTTCCCGCTAGCTTACGACTTAATATCAATTTTTTTGGTCAAATTCAATAACTTCTTTTTTACGGCATACTTTTATTAGAGATGTATAATGCGGTGAATAATGGCGGTTAATGATGCGCTTGAATTACATTAGCAGCCATTAAAACTTTTACGCGGAACTAATGCTACAGTAAACTAATATAAAAAAGTTATGCAATGTATGATCGATAGCATAAATATTGTTATCTAACCGTATTCAAATCATTTTCACCTTGTTTCGTTGCTAAGCCGTATAAAAACTTTTATTGATATTGAGAATAATGGAAATGAAGCTATATTTAAAATATACATGACATATAAAATGAATAATATAGTACCGTCGTTATTATAGAGAATTTAATCCTTGCACATTTATCATTGTCACAATAGCGGTGCTCAAATATTTATCTATTTAAATTACAATAGAATTATTAATTAAATCTCAGCTCTCGCGATATGTACCTATAATGAATATATTGTATAACGAACATATCCTTATATTATAGCGCGAAACATTCACTGCTTTTGTTCTTTTCGAGCATTTGAAAGCAGTTGAATTGATTATGTAAACGGAGAGTACGCTTTTTAGGTATTGTAGGAAATTCAACTGTTAAATGTGAGCACTCGAGCGCATATAAAAATCGGACTAGAAATAAAAAGGACTTTGGATTAAATCTTAACTGCTTTGCGAAATGTGATAATGCTAATGGTAAATCGACCGAAATAATAATACGATGTTTATTTCCGTAACACCAAGTGTTCTGGACTTACCCAACATTACGTAGCACGTTTTGAAGAAACTCGGGCCCAATATAACGCTGAGCAATCCTAAAATGCCCTGCGGCATTTCCGTGACGAGGAACAACAGGAGCACCGCCAACAACATCATCGTAGTCCTGTCAGTCTGTCTTTCTTTATCCTGGCCCTTTCTCCTCTTCTTGTGCTTCTCGCAGGCGTTCTCCTTACCATTGCCCATCTTAATGGCGGTGTTCTTCGTAGTGAGTTTCTTCCGCCTCCGTTTTGCCTCCAATAGCACCTTGACCAGCTTGATGCTCAATCCCGTCAACGCCATGCACGGTATCAGCTTGATCACTACACTGTAGATCCAGACGTTGATGTTCTTGAGAACATTGCTCATCGGAGAATCGGTGAGCTTCACGAAGTACAGGGTGGTGTTAGTCACACCGTCGAAAGACGCACTCGTCTGCTGGAGTTCTGTCAGGTTTACACTCATCCCAAACTTGTCTAACATTTCCATTTGCGGCTTCACCTCGGTGTTGATGTAAAGCGGTATGCAAAGTATCGGGCAGGACACATAGGCGAAGGCGATCATCAAAAAGGTGCGCTTATTGCTGCACCACTCGCGATTCCTTTGTGGATGCGCCACCGCGATGTACCTCCAGACCGCCAGGGTCACCGTCAGGCAGATCGAGATCGTGTGACACACCTGAGTGAAGTTCGAGTGGAACAGCACGAATATGGTCCAACCGTAAGTGAAGGTATCTCTGCGGGATCGTCGATAGAGATACATGTGGATCGCGTAAGGAATGTACTCGATCATCACAAGAAGATCGGCCACAGCGAGACCGGTGAGAATCATGTTAGTGGGCGAATGCATCTCACGGCGCGTCAGCACGGCGATATTGAGCACATTGGCGATTGAGCCGAATATGCATACCAGCAGACTAGCCCAGCCGTGCACCTGAGTATACCAATTGTAGAAGGATTCCAAACGCGCGCCGCACATATATTCCGTGGGTTCCGGCGCCGACGTCAAGTTCTCGCTGAAATTCATCTTTGCGAGATAAAGCGGTCCTGCGAGCGAGTAAGCCGCACTTCCACTGCGGGATACGGAAGATCAACCAACTCTTTTTCTTTCACGCGCCTCGGAGCCTCGAATTCTCTCGGCTGAATCATTACCACTTATGACAATAGTTCCCTCGCTGTCTTTCTTTTTATAAAGAACGTTGCACGAATTACGCGACGCGATTCCAAGTTACTCGGAATTGGAGTTTCCGGTGAAAAGTGGCGATTTATCATAATCATTATCACATGAACTTACATTGACAAAATTACACCATGACGTTGCCAACGATTTAGACGTATTTTAATACTGACCATCGAATTGAGATTACAATTTTAGTTAAGTTATTTAAAAGTTATCACTGTCAGATTAACGAAGACAGTTATCACACACAGGTTACAATTGTATACAACAATGAGTGTTCTTGATTTAGCAGTGATAATTACCGTGATAAATTCTATCTAAGGGAACATTTATAAACCGGCATTGGCGTATTTCACAGCAAACGAGCAAACGTTTTCGTCATTTCGATGCCACTTTGGAGAGATGTGTGGTCGGGACAATCGAGCCAATTCTACTTTATATCACATTTTTGATTCACTTTAAAATTTCGGCCGACTAACTTTGATGACAAGGAGAGAGTCGCCGTTCACTGATTCGACATCGGGAGAATGTGATAATTTTTCTACATTCTTCGACCTGGAAATCGCGCGATAACTTTGAGACGATTCATTCTCGTGCACGCGCGCGGAGATGAAGGGAGGGATAAAGTTACTACGCGCTTGAAGGTCCTCTCCCTCAATTTACCTCCAACGATCATAGTCGAAGGTGTTCCGGTCAAACTTTAACGCTGTCAAAGGTAGCGCGATGAAACGCTGAAATATAACAGTAACAAAACTTTCGTTAGCATTATTGTTGCCGCGTGACAATCTGACATTTCCAATCGGAGCGTCCAGTACGAGCGCAGTCATTTGACCTCGACTTTTACGTCTCACGTTTTGGAGCCTGTGTTTCAGCGTTTAAGAGATCCAAGTCGATTCGCGCGTTAACAATATCAAGACTAAGTTTCTCTCTTCTATAACAATAAAGATAATAGATCTCTTAATAGCGATTTAGATTATGCAAATGCCTGACGTATTAATATCAAGCAGCATTGCTAATTAGCGGACAGGATTACGATTAAAGGGGATGATGATTAATTAATCTTTCTAAAATTAGCCCGCGCTGGCCGCGCGCAGTCCGACGTTTTCCACGTTGATTCGAGGAAGCGCGACTTTCCGAGAGCAAATCGAATTTGTGTGTCGCGTGCAGGATCACACAGCGTCATGTGACACGTACGGCCGGTGACACGTGTGAGAAGGACGCTTCAGTTATTAATCGTGGCTGCCGCACCCTGGTGTAGTGCGAATGATCCTCGAGTGCCATAGGAACACTTTTCTACGCACAGCGTAATAACCGTTCGAGCACGAAACGAGCATTATCGTCAATCCGGACCAAGAGATGCACAAACATTCCGCTTTCAATTTTCCACTCGCCTCGCCGCTCGCAGATCGAGTTACCGCCCCCACTTAACCGATCACTGGGCGAGCTTTTGATCGCGGAAATGCCGCCAGCTAAAATTGTTTCGGGCGCCAATTTGAGATCGCTCGCGTTGCGCTGTATCGCCCTTTGTACAGTTTATCTTAATTCTCCATTCATCGCACTCGCACCCATCGTCCCGCGGATTTTCTCCCTTCGCCAGCGATTCCAGCGCGATTAACACAGCTGTTTCACGTTAGAGTAATGATGCGAGGAGCGTCGCGCGGTCCCACATATGTGGTAAGTTGACGTCCGGACGCCGAATGAAGCGAAAAGGCGTCGCGACGCCTCGTAATACTGGGGGGGAACGGCTTTTGCGCCTGCGTCCACTTCTCCATTCTAGTCTCCTTCTATGCCTTCCTCCCTTTCATTCTGTTTCTTTCTGTCTCTCTCTCTCCCCCGCCCCCCCCCCCCCCCGTACTGTCCTTTCTCGTCTGTCAAAGCAGTTCTTTGCATCTTTGCGACCAAAGCGCGAATAGAGTTCAGGTCTCCTTAGGAACGATCAAGGAGTCTTGGACGCGGCAATCTATAAGGCAAATGGAGATTTAATCTTAATTTAAATCTCTTCTTCAAGTAGACCTATACGCGAGAGATGTAAATTAGATTGTTTGTTATCGTGATTTAAAATTCGTTTATATAATTCCATCAAAACTCTTATATCTCTCTTTTATTTCGAAACGGTATATAGTATATTGCGCTGATTGTATTCATCACGTACAATGCCGTGAAGAAGCTATATATAAATAATCTTTTTTTTTTTATTTTCCCCTTATATAATTTTCTCTCTCGCTATATCTTTATCTTCAATGGTACCTTCGCTTTGTAAAAGAAGGAAGAATATTGTCAAAAAGAATACTTGGAAAACACTGGGAGCGTCGTCCCACCTTGGTAGATTTAATCAAGCCACAATGTGAGAGCGATACTTGTAAAATCGAATCGCTACACGATTCTGCGGCGGAGGAAAGGAAACAGGCTTAGTCCCGTGCGGGTGGTGGAGACAGGAATCTGAGTTAACAATAGGCACCATTAAAATGTCGGCATACGTTACCGGGCGGAAAAAAAAGCTCCTGGTTCCTGGTCGCCTCGCATCAGAATAGAACGCTTCATTACTCTTCATTCTTCCTAGTTGCTACTTTTTCTAGTTCCCTTTTATCGGTTCTCTCGCATGTGATCCCCGCTGAAGCGCGTCCCAACTCGCCGAAGTGCCTTGCTCTTTACTCGGGTTTGTCTCCTGTCATCGGCGCCGGCCATTGGTATCAGCTTCCGGTAGCAGCGATATGAGAGTGATTCCCAACTCTCGGCTTTGACGTAGCAATGCAATCTCCGTATCAGCGAGGATTGCTTTTTTTTTTTCGCAACTGCACTCGTCGTTTGTCTCGTGTTAACAGAACGGCACTCTCGCGAATGGAATCCACGTACGCGTGTCTCGGTGTCTTTGAATAGCGAACGTAATTAGCACCTACAAATGCGGATTTGCGTTAGCAAATCGGTTCAATGGAAGTGCTCAATTGATTGGTATGTTTAGTTAATTAATCGAGTAATTTATCCGAAAATTGGGGCGCTCTAAACGCATGGGGATGACGTACGAAAATACTGCGGTTGTACAGATAGGGGAATGTTTCATGAATACACTCAGTTCCGCATTGTCATCACAGATTTGGTAAACGCTCTCTGATCCCACACTAATGTGGAAACGCAATTCTCATGGGTATATAAAATATGAGGTTATATGTCTGCATTTAGCATTAAACACTCCAAGTGGAGGATGTCGCGAAGACGCATAGAAATATGGGTACAGTTGCAATTCTCTTATAAAATATTCTCTTAAATATACACATTTTCAGAAAAGTGGGGTTAACACAAATAAGCATGTAATTATTACTATTCTCGTGTAAAAAATAATAATTTTTTTGAACCGTTTCTCTCGAGATTTTCAACGTTCAAGAGAACAGAGAAAGAAATGAGTAACATTTTATATAACAATCTCGCACCATAAAATTTCTAGAAATATATTTTCTTGCCTTACACTAGCATTATACCGCGGTCGTATTTAATAGAACTCGGTGATGAATCTTCCTCCTTATTATTCCCTCCGTTGTAAAGTGCAGGCATTGCGCGATATCTCCTAACACATGTGACAGCGAGAATCATTTTGCACATATGCGAAACAATTTGTAACAGCGTCCCGGCGTTAATTTCTGTCGTTAATGCACGCTGTACTGAGCTTTTCGTCTCTCAGAAACCTCCAAAGATATTCGCATGTCGGCTCTTCGAGCGTGTGAGGCTTACAATGAGCGCAGATAACAACGTGTAGCAATTTGTGTTCGATTGAAAACGTGCGCTTCGTATTTCCGTTCGAAACTCGTCGTTTCATCAAAGTCGGTCCGGACAGAAACTGGTATAATTTCAATGAATTCAATTTTCCCTGTTATACATAGACACGATGGAATAGTGCCTTAGATCGCGTTTCCATAGTAATCTCTAAAGGGTGATAGGGGCTAAAGTGGATAGGGGGTTACAGTGACCAGCGCAAAATTGATGGTTTAAGCAAGAAGGGTTCGTTTAAGTAACGTCATGAAACAGAGCTGAAACGAGTGGTCAATAATTTTAGCAGTTATATCAAGTTTTTATCACTTATTCCTACCCTTGTTATCGAATCTATTATAATTTTAATATACTTTATTGTTATTTGATATTTAGGATTATGCACGTTCGAACACTAGAGTTTTACATTGTTTTTGAGATATGATTTTCGGTTCATCTTATAAAAACTTTATAGCAAAATGTTTCTTTTTACTTATGGTTTTTTTTTTACTTAAAAAACACACAAAAACTGTCCTTTCACGTTAAAATAATTGTGAGAAGAGTAAATTAATTTTTTTAACATAAGGAGTAATATCGTACCTTTATTTCTTATAGAGATTAATATTTTATGTTCTGACAGCATTTCGATGTAGGTCCATTGATGTCGAAGGATGTGAACTATATTAATATTGAGGGCTACGAATATCTGACTTCTTTTCTTCGTCCGCTTTATCACTTTTTTGACCTTGTTGTTTCGTCTCTGTTTTATCTGGAAGTTTTTCGTGGCCTCGTGCATATTATACATCTAACACTGGAAAGCTATTATGGCCGGATTGAGTGCGGCGAGTGTGTTTTACATTGGGGCGAGCGAGAGCGCGTGCCTTTTCCTAATGGTATCGCATTAAAAGCCCCCACACGGATTTGTACGATTCTGTATTCTATTTTCAACCGTGAATTTTTATCAGTTTGAAGATACGTTTCGGAGTTAAATCTTTCGAATGCTGTGTTGCTTTACGTCTCAATGTTACGCCGTTTCGGTACGTGAAAGCATTTCGCCACACGTGAGACAGCTTATAGCCTTAAATCTGAAATGTAGCTCTGCCCGCAAATTGGACATTTAACGGAGTATCCGCTGCGCAATAATAATTATTTAAATGGGTTTAAATGCCCAAGGGAAATCGTTATTTCACGATGCGTGAATTCTGTTTGTATCAATATTAGCGTTACGCGTCGGCTCCTGCGTGTATTATTATTATATATCTCAAATAAATCATTAACTATTCTCAGTTGTAAATTGAACGCAATGCCAGTTATTAATACACATTGCAACAAAAGAGCACGAATTGATAAGCATATACATTATATTTCTAATTGTAAGGTATAACTGGAGGACGTTCTATATACGTAACTCTAGAGTAGAGTGGAGACCATTGGAGATGAAATAATTCACTTTGTAAAATACATTTGAGAATAACGTGAGAACGTAAGATTCAAAATGCAATTTTCTGATGAGAGTTATATTTTTAGACTAGTTGTAAGATGATTCTTTTAAAAAGTTTGTTAGAAACAAAATTTATACATCTAATTTTTGAATTGGTAAAACAGAAGCTAGATAATTGCATCTCGATTCCTCTTTCGTAATTGAATTTTTTAAACGGAAACCTCCATTTCTTATTATATCATCTTTAGATAATTGCATCTCGATTTCTCTTTCGTTTCATTCTTATATTTCCCCCGAAAGTATTTCGTAAAGTATATTATCATTGTACATGAGGAAAAAGCATGGAAACCTCTAAATTTTTCAAAAATTATACATTTTAGAAAGAAATGTTTGAGACAAAAGTTTAACTAACTTCGTATCTCGCGGAATCTGCAGGAGATATCTCGCTTTGAAATATACAACGTACGAATCATATTTCCCATCCAAAATAGTTCACTTACAAAAAGCATCCTTGA